GCAGAGGGGTGCTGGGGTTCGTGCCACTTCCCTGGGGGTCTCCAGAGACCCTGTCGCCTTCCCATGGGATACGAGCAAAGGCAAACCCTCCTGGGCGCCTCAGAGTGGTTGGAGACCCCAACCTGTGAATGATTTGTCTCAGACCCCACCAAAGCAGGCCCTGTCCCCACCAGCCCTGCTGCCCCCTTGGGCCCTGGCAGTGGCTTTGGCTCAAGCAGCAGGATAGCTGCAGCCAGCCGTGGTTGCCTGGACATGGCACACTCACTGCGGGGGGCTGGTGCTTGGGCACCTTATCCCCTCTGCTGAGAGGCACGAGGAACTTCCCTGCCAAGCTGTGCCTCAGTTTCCCCCTCTGCAGATGGGCTCTGGGCAATGCTGGAGTTGCCAAAGACTGGGATGATCCCCAACAGGCCCCTCCAATGCCCCCGTGAAGGGGCTCAGAGCAGCTAAATTTGCCTTGGTTGGAGGTGGCCACACTGTGGTGGGGAGGGAGTTGTTTTGCCCGGGGCCCCTTAGGACCTTCGTGCCACCCGACACCCCCAGTTCTTCTCTCACCATCAGATGCTGAGAAGACCCCAGGCTACTGGAATGAGGCAGCCAGGAGGAGGCTGGAGTTGGCCCTGGCACTACAGCCAGCAGCAAAGCGGGCCAAAAACATCATCCTCTTCATGGGCGATGGTGAGTGCCCCAAGGCCCAGCCAGGCCCCATGGCTCCACAGGAGCCAAGGGACAGGGCCCATGAGAAGATGGGGCTGGTGCAGGTGCCCTGGTACCATCCTCCCGAGCTGGCCCTAGGCAATGCCTGGGAAGGGCCAGACTGTCCCTGGTCCCAGCCCCTTGCCTCCCCATAGCTCCGCTGTGCCCACAGGCATGGGGCTGCCCACCATGTCAGCAGCTCGGATCTACAAGGGGCAGCTGGCCGGCAGCTCGGGAGAGGAAAGTGTCTTGGCCATGGAGACCTTTCCCCACGTGGCCCTGGCCAAGGTGAGTGAGGCAGCATGGGAGAGAGGCTGTGCTGCTCCTGCCCAAAATGGCACCAGCCCCCGCTTGCTTCCAGACCTACACCATCGACCGGCAGGTGCCCGACAGCGCTGGCACAGGCACAGCCTACCTCTGTGGGGTGAAGACCAATGCCAAGACACTGGGGCTGAGCGGGGCGGCCGTTTACAGCAAGTGCCGCACCGCCTTTGGCAACGAGGTGGACTCCGTCCTGCACCGGGCCAGGCTGGCAGGTCTGGGGCAGGGCACTGGCACGGGCATGGCCATGCCATGCCATGCAGGGCTGGATGGGCTCCCTGTGAACCCTTTGCCCACGCTGCAGGCAAGTCAGTGGGCATTGTGACCACCACGCGCGTGCAGCACGCGTCCCCCGGTGCGGCCTATGCCCACTCGGCCAGCCGGAGCTGGTATGCCGATGCCAACATGCCCAAGGAGGCCTTGCGGGAGGGCTGCAAGGACATCGCCTACCAGCTGGTACACAACACGGACATCAACGTGAGCTGGGGAGCGGGCGTGGGAGGGAGGGGGCACCGGCAACATTGGGAGGGTCTGCTGAGCTCCCCCACAGGTGATCCTGGGCGGCGGGCGGATGTACATGACCCCCAAGCGGACCCCAGACCCTGAGTACCCGGAGGACTCGGCTCAGAATGGCACCAGGAAGGACGGCCTTGACTTGATTGCCCAATGGCTGAGCGCCAAGCAGGTACCATGCCGGGGCAGAGCAGACGTGATGCCGGGCACGAGGCATGTGCCGTTGGCACCGTCTCTGTTCTTGCTGGCAGGGCGCCCGCTATGTCTGGGACAAGAAGGGCTTGGACGCAGTTGAGGATGACTCCGTGAGCCACCTGATGGGTGAGAGCATTACTGCCCACACTGCCAGCAGCACCTCCTCCTCCTCACCGCTCTGGGAGTGCTGGTGGGGGCCCGTGGCAGCCGCAGCACAGACCCCACCCACCCTGCTC